GGACACTCGACACGCTGCGGATGTCAAACGTTCCATAAACAATGAATTAGTCACAATCGCATTGTAAGGAAACTGCGTCTCGATTGGGAAACCGAGGGCAGGCCGCAGATACGATGAAAGGTCTCAGTGGAAGGTGCGTTTCACCTGGTGCCACACTAAAAACCCAGAACATCACCTTTTTAAAGGAAATCTGTTGCACATTTTTAAGGGCATGAATATAGAATCTTTGAAAATGCATGAATAAAATACAAGTGATGAGCATAATGGCTGTAAGGTTTGATGTACGGGAAAGATGGCAGGCAAACATACTGGCCTCTTTTATTTCGCATTTTTATTTCTGGCTACAGCCCTGTGACTAATCCTTTGTTAGCCCCCTTTCCAATGCACACGTAACTCAGGGAGCCACCTACAGTCTCGGGGGGGGGCAGGGGAGCAGGATCTCGTGCTTCAGTCACAGCAAGAAGAGCCGTCTGTGGCACATGTTGGCATTTACCATGGCAACCGGAAGCTCTGCTCAACGGCATCTCTTTCGGCCCCTATTAGACCCATTCGGATAGTGACCTTTGACCTGGAATGAGTTTTAAAGAGCCAAGCCCAACGTTGTTTAAGGTCGGCCTCAAATTTGCTGCCCCATACAGATTGGAAGAACCTACTGCTTACAATGATAATAATAAATTTAAGGGCCAAAGCCAGGCACAAACCAGCAACCTTCTGATCACAGGCAGAGAGGTTTAGCCCACTGGGCCGCACACTGCCACCACATTCCAGTTTGATTTATTTACACTGCAAGGCAACAGTGCTAACCATTGCAACACCATGTCACCCAAATGACAGATATGCTAATTGAATATTAAATGGTAAAAGACTTTAATCTAGTCAAGGGACTCATTACAGAAAAGATGTCACAGGAAATAAATTAGGCAGCCAAACTCTGGCAGGAATCCTGATAAACATTGAGGGAAAAAATATACACATAATGTGTGTGTGTCCATCCATCCATCTGCTTTTTATTTCATAGGGTTGGGAGTATGTAATATTAGGGTTACATAATATTAATATCATATTGAAATGGTTGCGTGATTGTGATAGCAGGTGTACTTCATAAAGAATAGATTGAACTCAACACATCTGATTGTGTTGATTTATTTTTTTTATTCAACACACAGTCGATTCACAGATAAATCTAAAATATCAATCTTAACAGTTCTGTCTCCACTTTTTCGTTAGTTTATTTTTTCCACTGACTCCTCATCTACATCTGTTACATAGATTAACAAGGTCATGCTTAATTCTTGTCTTAAATACTGGCTTTATAGCCATTCATGTAAAGCACTATATTAATAGCAGCAGCGAAGCTATAACAACTGCAGCCAAAATGTCGTAATGTTCCTAAGAGAGTGACTGGTCTGTCCTGAAATCATACAGCTGAAAAGTTTTCAAATACATTATGTATTATATAACATGTTGGATAAATAGACGTAGTTTGTTTTATTATGTTCGTTGAAGTTTCTGCTTTTTAACTGATGTATAAAGTAATGTTAACTGTTACATAAATAAACTCAGGTGAAACAAAAAATGTACGTTTTCATGGCTGCCAAATCTCAAGCATCTGGCACGACATACTTTCAGACTCACGCTGGAAATCTTACGGCAAATCTATATTATTCCATTATAAAACCTAAAATTAGCTACATCAAAGGTGTATTTACACGGTTAAATAAAAAAGCAGACTATTTACAAGGTAAGAAGTGTTACATGGGTGCAGACAACTCGAATTGAATGTCACGTGACAATGAATATTGTTAAAACGTTTTTAAATTGTACTGAATTAATTTGAAATACTTAAATATATAACACACTAAATAGTTACACATTATGATCTTCCGGACCTTTGCTTCAAGAAATTTTCTCTAACTGGACCTCTTTAAATTTTAGTTGAATACCCCTGCCTAGGGTGTTTACTGGGATAAGCTCATTGTGAACGTGTCCTGGATACAGAGTTAAGGAAGACTGATGGATGGATGGATGGATGGATATGCTGGAACAAATGTAGAAGGGCTTGTTTTTCCAATGCAATAGATTAATTTATATTTGTGTTTTTTATTCTCCAGTGAGTAGGGTGTTGTTGAAATGGGTGCTAAGATATATGTAGCTATTTTGTAGAACTTAAATTAATTCAGATTAATGACATCAGTTAGGACAGCTATGGGACGCGAGTCCGTGATGCTCACGTAGGACGGGAATGTGTGGGGGAGCTGTGAGGCAGCTCTGCTGTTGCAGAAGGTTCATTTGTGCTTAACAGCTCTAAATTGTTTGCTCCGTGATTCATGGATCATGATCACGAAGAGACGGCAGGGAGACGGACTGGGGTCTGAGACCGCGACACGTTTGTCCAGACTCTGGTGCAGATATGTGATTTATTGTGGACCGAAGGTGTCCTGCATCGATGGAAAGGGTTAGTGTGGCGTAATATGCACCACAAACACGCACAAACCCCAGAAATCAAGTCTGTATTTGTATTCGTATAAGCAAAGGATGGCTGTGACACAGCTGTTCTTTATTATTTAACTGGATTTATACACATTTGGCAGTAATCAAGGAAACATGAAGTGCGCCTTTTACTCTACCCATTTTCAATAGAAACGGTAAACAAAGAACCGCTAGAATCTATCACGTGCAATAATTATCTTCTCTAAAAGCATAGTGCAGAGCTTTTTTTTCTGAATTTTTTTCCACGCAGGATGTAAATGATGCTGATTTCAGTACCCATATCACAGAAGCCTTCCTCCCAGGGATCTTTGTTTCGTGGAGCGTTTGTGTATCTATGCCAATGGCTTCCTACCTTCTGCACATTTAGCCGACTTCCTGGTGGTGAGATTCCTGTTGGTCCCCATTCTCCCCCATCATAGTGTCTGTCCTGGCCAGAGCCTGCTGTATAACATCCAGCTAAACTTGCATCTGTTTGCCCTGCCTACATGACTGTATTTCTGGGATTCTGTATGGAAGTGTTCAGAACATAGTAGATAACAGATAAGCCAGATTCCATTTACTCCCAATCAGCTAACCCTAACCGTTTAAGGACGCTGGTGATTTCATGCATTGACTTTACAATGACAATGCAAATTTACTGCTTTGCTAGAATTTGAACCTGCAGTCTTTTAATCATAATCATGTTCTTTAACCTATAACTAAATCCAATTAAGCTAGCCCCTGCCTTGTACCTCCCGTTACCATTCTGTTATTTGTACGTATTTGCGCTTTTCCATATAAATGCCGGGTTTGTCAGCTAGCAGTTCTCATACTGATACTCCCACAAGTTTCTGCTGCTTGGTGATGGTACCTTCTCACTTCAAAGCTCGGCGGAGTCTCGTTAGTCACAGTGTACAACGGATTCCCGGGGGGCGGCTGATTAGGGAACGCCATCCTGTGTATTTACAAACCTGGGAAAGCTCACCTCTGCCTCACTCTCGCTAATCTTCATCTAAACGGATGGGGCTCGGCTACAAAGGAGCTCTGAAGACGGCTTTGCTTTGAGGCCAAGCGACAGCATTAAAATTGGGGGGGGGGGGACCCCAGACCACGCTGACCTTTAAAAGTCGTCTCTCGGAGCTGGAGGATGCTAGTGCCTCAGCACAGACCGGCTGTGATTCAGGGAACAGCCGCAATACATCCTCCCCCCCCATAAAAACCTACATATTTAACATTATTTTGAAATGTTAACAAGGGCACTCCTGTCTCACTAGTTCCAGGAAAAGAGGCAAACCGTTGACAAGTACAGCTGATACATTATATATATATACATATTTGAATGCTATCAATTTCATCAGTTTAACGAAAACTTTGACATCCACTGCAGCTTTCATTGGCACACCACCAAGCAGATTGGGCAGAGTGTGACGTTAGCTAGTTTAAACTGGAGACTAAATTAAGCTGCTCTCGAGACAGGATTATAGCTGCTCCTGCCAATTCTGCTGGTCACTCCTCATCACCTGAGCCTCATGGCCTTCACTGCATGGCCAAAGCAAAGTACCGGCGACCAGCAGGACCTCAGCGCGAGGCCGTGAAGCGCGTGGCCGTGAAGCGCGAGGCCGTGAAGCGCGAGGCCGTGAAGCCCGTGGCCGTGAAGCCCGTGGCCGTGAAGCGCGAGGCGGTGAAGCCCGTGGCCGTGAAGCCCGTGGCCGTGAAGCGCGAGGCGGTGAAGCCCGTGGCCTGGCTGTCCGCCGCCTCTTCGCAGTTTTGGCCATTTTGTGTCACTCATTTTGCATCATTTGTGCGGGATTACTGCACACCAGAAATAAGAATGCGCATCATGACACATAACTGTGTGTGTTGAGAAGGGGGAGCTGATGAGTCATACCACAAAAATGCAACACATCACACTGAGGATAAATAAAAATACAACGATGCTCATTAATGATCACCTCGACATAGGTGTCAGGTGGACACACAGGCTGTGACAGAAACCCAGGCAGCCTGTTGGGTATAGGAGTGATTTATCCTCAAATTCATAGGCAAACTGAATAGGGGTAGCCGGGGGGGGGATTTGAAATGACAGATCCTGAAAGGAAACAGAAGCGAGCAAACAATGGTATCTGAAAAGCAGTATTGTTCGTTCCTGAAAGCCTTCAGTTTCTTTGACGACATGACCAGATCAGTTCTTCCCGCACAATAATGGCAACTTAACTTCACATGTATTAAGCGAACGGCACAAATGGAACAGTCTGTAACGAAAACAAACAGTCTGCTGAATGGCCTTCAGCGTCCTTTAACAAACCGAAGAGGGGGGGGCGGGAGAGAGCCAGAGGCTGTGTAGGTGGCCCACATTCAGGCAAGCCTTAATGACACACACCTCTGCCTTGTTTACTGTTATTTAGTGATAATCTAATCTTCTGCATCTCCCCCGCTTCAGAATCCCCATTTGATTTCGACTATATCAAAGAACATAATGCAGTCGACAAGAGTTCATGAATTTCTGCATTTCCAACAGGCAAAGGCAGTGATAATGTAACAAACGTATTTTTATTACATTCAAGTTAAAATACAGTACACTGAAATTGCACATGGTCACCACAGGTAGCAGCATTCAGATTGGCATAGACTAAAGTCGTAGGCACGGACGCTCAAGAGAGAAATAAGCATTGAAACCAGTGACAACTCCGTTGCGAACATCTGAAACGTCCATACAAGTAGTTAATTTACACGTTCTGTAAACCAGACTTATACGATCCAAGGCGTCCTTATGCACAACAGCAGTTCATCCGCTGGTCCCTCAGATGTTTACCAAGGTGGGTGTGACACCTAGATGTACCAGTGCCAGGGACAGCTCTCCCGTTCGGGCATCACACCACAGAGCGATGTTCCCCACACACGTAGATGGCGCTGGGACGAATGCGGCGCTTTGTGTGCCCTGGCAACTGGGGCAGGAACTTAAAGTACTTGGGCATCAAGTCCAAGCAGGCGTCCCGGAACTTCTTGATACGCCAGTAGTAAACAAGAGGGTTCAATGCGGACTTGAGGTAACACAACCAGAGGAGCCAGGTGCTGATTTCAAAGAAGTTGGGCCTGTAGTAGAAGGTCTGGCTGAAGGTGGAGACCAGGCTGTACGTAGCGAAGGGCGCCAAGCACACGGTGAAGACGGAGAAGAGGATGAGGATAGTGGCGAAGGCACGCGTCTTGAAGCTCATGTCTATGTTCATCTGGAAAGGCCTCTGCAGGCTCATGAGGCCCAGTTTGCTGGCCTGGCTGAGGCAGATGCTGTCCGGGTGGCTGTGGATACGGATGGCGTTGTGGCGGATGGTGTTCAGAATGCCCAAGAAGGAGCACAGCATAACCAAAAAGGGGACGATGAAGAATACCAGCACGATGATGACCACATAGGCTTGGTAGCCCGGCTCAGTAGTATAGCCAAATACGCACTGCGGCGCTCGGGATGGGATCTGCAGGAACGGCTCCCCCACGGCCAACGGGAAGGAGAAGCAGGAGGAGACACTCCATGAGATACCTATCAGTACTTTAGCCCTGTAAGGACTCAGCTTGTCTTGTTTTTGGACAATGATGAGGAACCGGTCGATGCTTATTATAAGCAGGATAGCCACCCCCTCGATGACGAAGAGCCAGAAGAACATGGCCGAGACCCGACAGAAGACGTCCCCGAAGATCCAGCTGGCGGTTACCACGGTGACGAGGGCAAAAGGCATGTTGAGGATGGCCAGCATCATATCCGCAAAGGCCAGGCTAGCTAGCAGGATGTTGATGGCCGAGCGCATGGCTGAGCGCTGGTAGACCATCAGGCAGACCACCGCGTTTCCAAGGAAGGCGACCAGCAGTATGGAGATGATGACGATTAAAAAGAACACCTGAAGGGGCAGGCTGAAGCCCCCCGCACTGTCTAGGGGACTGATGGCCGCCCTGCCCGTGGTCGCTATGAAAACAGAGGAAGCGTTCTCCGTCGACATGTCCGCCACGTTTCGTTGCACGCTCAGGTAGAGCCGGGACAGGTTCAGAGGTCCGACTCCCCCGGGGATGGAGGTACCGTTGGCTTCCCCTGCATCCACAGCGGGCTCGTTAGCTGAGTGAACCATCGTTCCCCGAAGCCTCCAGACACCACCTGTAGCATCCTCACTGACGTGCTCTCCTCCAGCACGACGCCTTCTGCCGGGACCCTCCTCTGTACCCAACTCTGCTCATCTCCGCAGGTCTATGGGGGCCCTTGGAGGAAGAGAGCGAGAACAACAAGTGAAGTCACACTGAGGGGACGACCTCCTCCTGCTGCACAGGTACAGCCCTTCCACGCTGGCTTTCTCGCATCCTCTGATACGTCTAACTTCCACCTGAATGCTCCCGTCACTCCGCGCGCGTTTCAGTGAAGCCGCTTACCGGAGGGCAGGCAGGGGACGTTTCTATGGACGCTGTGACATGAGCACTGCTAAGGATTCACGAATAAGGAAGTAAGGAATCATGAAATTGGCAGCAAACGTTAATTAAACACATTCTGGTCAGAGGCTACTACAGCATAATTCCATTATAGTCAGTTTAAGGACATGATTACTCCAAATCACAAACAGTTGTCCAACATAAATATTATGTATACTGTACACACACATGCACAATACACAATATTAAATAAATGCAATATTTAAGGTAAGTGTATGAGATCCTAGTTTATCTAATTATGCACATCGAGTGCCTTAAAATTTCTATTTTATCCAATAGTAAACCAAATAGCCATCTGTTAAAAGGTATTATCTGAATCTGTGATCTAATTACTCTGGAACTATTGAATTCCACTGAACACTTAGACAATTAGATTACCATCCATTTGCAGAATTCTGTGCCTAGAAAGAAGTTAGTAGTGGTTGTTTATTGCATTCACTGACGATGCAGATCGTTCAGGTCTGTGAGTGCCAGAGGAAAAAGCACTTCATTTTGTCCCTCACAAAAAACCTGATTCTTTGACATTGTGGGGACATTTCGGGTCCCCACAAAGATCTGTAAATGCAATCAAAAAACTTAAAATGCCAAAATTCTGAGCTGAACACCAAAGACAAAGTTGACACACCCAGCTGATGCAATTATCACAGTAGAGAATCCAAAAATATATTCACATTTCATGGAATATGTGGTCATGCTTTTAAAGTGTGTCACAGTCAAGTGCAGAACCACAAGTCTATAAGGTTATGGTGTATGATGAGGGAGTGTTGAACAGAATATAGGAAAAAACATAGATCTAAAAAAGGTTGACCATGATGTCACCTGAAAGGAAAACATGCACAGACTCCATGTCCCATCGATCATGCAAGTGTGCCACAGAAAGCCAAGCCGTCATGGATGAACCATCTTCAACATCCACCATGAGATGGACAGTGACACCATCACCCCCCTGGAAATTAATACGGGACCTTATATCACTTCAGATCTCTACAGACGTCGGCCATTTCAGTCACAGTGCATCTCCACGTCGTTAGAATATCCGCCAAAGCTAAGCTGACCGTTCCCATAAATAAGGATGATAAAACAGAATTTAAAAAACAAAAAGTGGTGTTATCCTCTTCCTCTGACAAACACACACACAAACAATGGTGCTAAAGATTAAAATATAAAACGCACTGCGCACTGCACCCTCCGCAGTGCGGGAGACCCGGGCAGCAGTGTCAGCCCGGCCTCTCTGGCGTGACAATCGGACGGGCTGTTTTCGGCGGGGGGCTCTGGATGGACGTGCGCCTCACGCTGGGCTGAGGGAGCTTTTGGCAGACGCTAAGCGAATGCTCCTCTGGGGGCGGCTTCGAGCCGCAGCAAAAAGCTTATCGCTTCTGTAAACATTAGATACGGTTATTTTAAACCCTGCTTTCGTTTGCAAAGACTGCACGGCAACTGTATACATTTTCACCTCTCACATGTAAGGAAATAAGAGGAAAGCCACCTTCCTACCTCTTTGTGGGGACCACCAGGCACCATTAATCTCTACTTATTCTAGATACATAAATTAATTATGCTCTTGGAGCTCTTACTGTGGTGTTTGCTACCAGGCTGGCCCGGAAAGGAAAAATGGTTCTCTCCCCCACATAAATTATGCTTTGACTTTAAGGTAGACTTTTCCCCTAATGGTTCTCTCACCATAAGGCCTACATGCTATTAAGGTTTATCCTGAGAACTTACCAGCTGCGGCAGCCCTTACGTACACGTATGCGGTTCATTCCGTACCTCGGTGACTCAGGCAGGTGAGTCAAAACAGCGTATTGAAATACATTAATTTCACAGGCAAGCGACAGACAGTTGAGGAAGCAGGTCAGCCAATCCCTGGGGTTAAGGGCTTTGCTCAAGGGCCCAACGGTGACATCATTGTACTGACAAAAGGGTATGAACCATCGACCTTTCAGCAACCCTGGCCTGTGGAGCAAGTAAACGATTTTCAAAGAGGTTAGAAAACACTAAAACTACTAAAAGCCAGTACATGATAGATATAAATTTACCAAGAACGAATATTTCTTTATCTAATAAAGACCCTCGATAGCTCAAAATTAAACATGAGTAAAGTTCTAAGAAATTCAAACACCAAAATCTGGGTTTGGCATCTGCGGGCAGCGTGTGGCTCAGTGGGCTAAGCCTGTGTGCCTGTAATCAGAAGGTCGCCGGTTCAAACCCAGCCTCAGCACGTCTGCCGCTACTTGAGCAAGGCCCTTAACCCCCAGCTCCCTGGGAGCCCCAACAGGTGGCTGCCCTTCACAGACAGCTTACTCTACAAAGAGCAAGTTGAGGCGTAAAGATGATTTGCCCACGGGGATCAATAAAGTATCTATTATTATTAAAATAAATTTCCAGTTTGAAAAATCCAAGCGGTATTATATTAGTGATTAAAACACAGAGCGCCTAAACTCTGAAAAGGAGCACATCTAGGGGCGCTGGCTAAGCCATGAAGGATCCTGCTCTGGCACCAGTAGGACATTTGTTTACGGCACAGGAAGGCTCTGCTTTGGAACGGTACTGAATCTGAACCTATGAAAACAATTAGCTGTCTCGACTGGTAAAATAAGACACTCCAGGTTTTTAGTCATCAATCAAGCAGCTAAATAAACCATTAGCATCCCAGACCCAAACGCTTACCCAGTAAAGCAAGATGGCTAATCTTATGTGCAAAGGGCCAGTGTGTGTCTGATCACAACAGAACTGTAACAGGGTCTTGTGATTCTATTAATCAGTCAAACTATGTATCCATTCATCGTCACGCCGTCAGTCCTGTACAGCGCCATGAGCAATCGCAGACACAAACAGGCCATGTTAGGGATGCTTCAGTGACTAAACGAAAAACAAAATGAAGGACATGGGGAAAGAAGGAGAGCACTGCAGACATTTCAGCCCAGGCATCTTCCTCCGCATCCCTCTTTTATTTTTACAAGTCGCTAAATGCCTACCTTCTCTCTCCCACGGCAGTACGACGCAGTCCTTCCCCGCCTGACCCTGAGCCCTTCACAAAGATACTCATACGCTGTTCCTGAATGCCGGCTAACTGAACGCTACAGGTTAATTCATCAGTAAAACACATCAGGAAATGATCAATCCTGTAGCTAATCAGATTCATTCGATATTCTCACAGACAGCCAGATGCCCACTTAGGAATGAGCGCGTCAATGGAATGCTGTAAATAAGTGAGCTCCATTAGCAGACACAAAGACCGGCGCCGGCCAGAGGGACAACATCTCCCCCAGTGGAAAGTGCAACCTGCCAGTTCGCTCCAGTGTCTTTAGGTGTCTGTCAAGGCTGGTAATGAAAAAAACTAAAGTATCCAAGCAGTTTGAAGATGAAGACAATATCGCTCCTAAAAGTCGGGTTTCATAACAAACCTGGCACTTTGGAAGCAGGCAGTAACACTATCAATGGCGAGCAGGTTTAGAACCTGGAAACAGGATCAACCCAAACACTAACCCTAATATCCGGTTGGGCCCTTGAACTGCTCTTCTTGACCATCACAACACAACCACACGTGGCAGAGTGTGCTAGAAAATAAGAACTATATAATAAATCAGGATCCACAAACTAGCTAATCAAGCATAATACATCAAATCTCTTAAGTAATTCATAGTTACCAGCTAAATAAATAAGCCTGTGAATGCTTCCTATTCCGAGACAATATTTCAAGTTATCGGAAGATCGTGAGGTTCCCTCAGGAGAGCTGAAACTGACATTCTCATAACGGCGATAATGAAGACCGCCAGACCAGATAACTGACTGGAAGATGGATGGGCTGAATTAATAAAGCAATGAAACTAAAAAAAAACCTGAAATAGGCTTAAAGTGCAGCACGACCCATTTCTCTGAACCGAAACCTGAAATTAAGAACACGTGCCTTAAAATAGAACACCTCCGTTCCATTTTTCAAGTGTCAAAATTAGTTAATGCCGTGTCCCAGTCTTCAGTTAATAACTAGCGCCTAGTTTATAAAGTAATTACAACTTTTCATTGCCTTATGTTACTCTCGAATATTTAATATTTCGTATTTTAAGTAAGATTCCAGTCTATAATAAGAACAATAATAAGGTTTTGGCAAATTAAAACAAATGCATCCATCCATTTTCTAACCACTTACCCTGGTCTGGTGACAGACGGGGCTGTACAGTTTGTACAGGGCAGGGGTTCGCCCTGGACTGGGTACCAGTCCATCACGGGGCACCCACAGAATAATAAACTACTGGCAGTTCAGGGATCCCAATCAGCCCGTCTTTGGACTGCAGGAGAAAACGGGAGAACCCAGAGGGAACCCGTGAGAGCCCCAGGAGAACATGCCAACCGCACAGACGCAGAGCGGAGGCGGCGTTTAGAGACCCAAACCTGGAGACGGTCTGCCCCTTAGAGCCACCATGTCACCTACATCAGGTACCTGCATGCAGGTATTCTGCTGGTCACAATTAGGCCGTACAGAGAAAGGAACGCTCACATTCACAATGCTTATACCTGAATGATAAATTAAACCATGGACCTCCTGTAGTAACCCAGTTCGGTATTTTACCATCAATTTTAAATCTATTATCAAAATTTTTTTTTAAATACACTACAGATTGCAAAAGATCCCCCCCCCCCCGCATCCTGCCATAAGCAGACATCTGGGGGAGACTTTGTTCACCTCACGGTTTATTAACTTCCTGATTACATGATATCAACTGTATCCCTCCTGCTTCCAGTAACACACATCCGTAAAGGTTACCCAAGCTTATGGAAAACACAACCACAGCATACTCCATGACAACAGTCTGCTGTGACGAGAAACTGATCACGGGACAGGCACTTATGAAAACAAATGTTTAAGTTAGTAGTTGGCAGAAATGTAGACTAATACTTCAACTTGCAATATTACTGCCATCCTTTTTAAAATTTCCATGGAAAATTACACCCAAACCGGTCACAGTCACTTTTATTGACCAATTTAATACTCCCATTACACACCTGAGAGCTAACTCTTGGAGATCTGGTGATACTACTGTCCTAACTGAGGCCCCGAAGAACAGAATTTCCATCGATGGCTTCATTATGTGTCAATCATGCCCTTAATGCCTACATGTATGACACTCTATGTACAAACTCCACCCAGATAACTCCTGGTGGAGCAGCTATACACTACTCTGATTCAGCACGAAGTCACAAGGCTGAGATTTTTTGATATGATCAGTGTTCTTCTAGTTGCAGCACCAGTCAAAACTTCGTTTTCATCAGGACAACAACGAAAAACAAACCATCAGGCTGTGTAAGAGTTGTTTACAAATTGCGCTTTTCCACCGGCATACAGGAACCGAGCCGTACCGCGAAGAGAGACTAGTTACTGCGCAGTTCCAGCTGACTTCGGTTTTCCACTGCAGAAGGATTGGCTCTGTAAAGGGTTTGAGGAGTGACAGTGATGTAAAACCTGTTCACACGGGACACACAGTGATTCACTTTGTGCTAATTTTCTAGCACATCTGTGAGGATCACCATCTTATGTTAGCCTCAAACGCCAGTGGAATTAGCATTCTCTTGTGTAAATTCGCTTTACGAATCTATTTTGTTCAGCTGTTCTATAGTACTTTTTAAGCAGGTGGTTGGACATTTTCAAGTTTCAAGTTATCAGGAATGCATGTGCGATACTACCAATAATGAATAATATTTAGAATTTGCCCGTTTTCCCTTCAGATTATCCATGTGCAGAACACCAGTGTCTCCCTGGGTCTTGACCAATCACATGGTGGTGATGCAACCCGTTCGGATTGGTCACGCTTTCAGTCCTGCTAGCAGCAGGGCCACGTCGCCATGGGTACAGCTGGGCAACGGCTCACATATTTACAATAAAAAAACAACCAGTCTGTGGTACAGCTCAGATCTTTGTGCCAGTGGAGCAGCAGCAAAAGAAGCGGAATGATCGAGTTCTGCAGCAGATGACACGCCCACCGCTGTTAGTCCATCTACACCAAACAGAGACGGGCTGGGATGAGCTGGACCAGACAGTGAAGGGCAAGTCCCCACATGACTGCTGGAAGAGCATCTCAGGGGCAACCTGATGACACTGGATGAGGGAATGTCAAGAGTTTGTAAGGCTGTCAGTGAGACCAAGAGCAAAAGAACCTAAAATAAGATATATAACCGTCCTGATACTGCTGATGCGCTGCAACAACCAGAACATTTAACCAGCAAGCTATTCATGGCGCCTCCAAATTATGCCGTAACTCAACAGTAAAAAAATAAATAAATAAATAAATAGCAAACAACTTGCAAACTGTCCATTTATAAGCTTACAAAGATGCCTGTAATGGCAGTTTTGACATCCAGAAATGCACGAGGCGTTCACTATCATTCAGGCACTATCACGATCGACTTTGTTACGTATACTCACCAGTACAGGTGGCTGAGCCACTCTAACAGGCGTCAGGGTTTAAAACATTAAACCCATGCTGATGTATACAAAACAAAACAAAACTCTAAAGTTTAGGCCTTTGTAGACTACCACCATTTTTAAATCAGTCTGTCTTTTACACTTTGAAGCAAACTGCCTTTTCGCTGTCAATTCAGGCCTGGAACCTATACATGTATCCTGGGCAATGAGCATTCAGATGCCACAATTACCAGTCATACCACTGATTCTTAATCACTACATATTTATTTACTTACTGATCTATATTTGCCTTGAGTCTCCAGATCGCCATGGCAACAAGGCAACGGGCAAACATGTGATGAATCACATAAGGTCTGCTTTAAACATCTTGGCAGACACTGAATCTGCACAGCTACCAAAGTGCGAGTCTTTGGCACGGGTTGCCACACCTGGGAGCCTGTCACCGTCTCATCTCTACACCTCAGTCATCCTTTCTAAATTAGAGCATTTGTATTTTAAACCCCGGATTCAGAGCTGTAATATCTATCAAGTACTTTGGCAAAGGCAGACTATAATTAGAAATATTTTTGTAATTGGCTTGCAGTTTGTATGAATATTGTTATTTCGTGGCTGATTTAGCTCCCTTACATAGAGGGTCTAGCCTGATTGAAGTGCACGAAAGCTCTTCGCATCACAGCGATTGTCAAACCAGACAACCATATGCAATTTTGTGCCATCGAGAAGCAAAGCAGTGGAATTGTGAGCACAGGAACCCTATGAGTCATATGTTTAGACAACTAGGATCAAATCGCCTCGTGATAAAATCATCTCTAGTCCGGATTTCCCAGGCCTGCTCTTAGAGGAAGGGGTTTACAAAAAAATCATACCGTTTCTATGATTAGAGCCTTTTCAGGCAACTAATAATTTAAAACAGCCACCTCATTATTATCCTCTGATCAAAGGAAATATCTAACAACAGACTAAATGCTGCCACCCATTAGACTACACTTTAAAGTACAGACTGACTGCTTATTAGCTGCTGTGTCTGCAAGCCCATCCTGTTCTTTGGGATTGGGGGGGCGCCGTTATTAATCGTCTCTGCAGTGATTTATCTCGTTACAATCTGTGTTACAATTCAGAATGGATGTTACGGTATCCAGCACAGTCTTTTTAATTAAGTCCAAAAAACTGACAATAACAGGGACATTTCCTTCTTTCTTTTTCCTCACATAATATACGATATGTGAATTAAGCAAACCCTAAATTATCAATGCGAATGCAAACCGACGGGTGGCCATTGTCTACCTGACCCAATACACCCTGACAAATTGGACTTACGTTTATAAAGTTCCCACGCAATAAAACACACGTTATATTTTTTCATAAAAACTGTTGCTGTCGGAAATATATTTTAAACCATTTAAACGAGTCCGGGGGAGATTCGAGGTTTGCAGATTATATAATTTTGGTGTAAAATATTACATAGAGATGAAAGAAAAATATGGAAGTATTTTAAATGAAAATGTCAGGTCTCAAAAAAAATGTACATATAACATTAACGATGAAAGTACATTGTGCTATCCATTGATTAAAATATTTCTAAATACAACTGTACATGGTGCTGGCTGAGCACGTAGAGTAACCTCTGATCTACCCCGTCCATGCCTGCTTTAATAGTCTACACAACCCCCGATACAAAAAAATATCCTCCAGTGATTAATAAATAATGATTCCATTGCATTACTTTCCCTAAATGATAAAGACAAGCGTGTCACCGTACACTGCCATCAAAGCCGGCGTACAAAAAACACGTCAAATAATTATAACCTGCAAGAATATTCTAAGTACCATGTGATATCCAGACAACAGTGATAAATCTGAAATGGGATTACCTTTATTTTCTTCTGCCTTACCTGGAAGGCGGCGGTTAGTAGACAACCGGTCTATCGGCTAAAACACTGGGAAGCGGAATCCACACACGGTGTTTCATGTTCCTGTACCGCAGCTGCTGGATACTATTATCTAACGTACCTGATGTGCTTTTCCTTGTTTGTGAAGCTTTTGCAGCATGGATTCTCATGTTATTAATGCAGAATGCATTGTGACTGCATTGCATGCATCTCCAGAGCTACCGTCCTAAAATATTTAGAGAGTCAATTTCCACACGTTTAAAATCAAACGTGACGGTAATCTCTGGTGCCTCCTTTTCTACTTTTCTCACTAGCATCTTTTTTGATTTGCAATTTAAAAAAAAAGTTTAATCAAACGCCATATTTGGATGAAGAGTAGATATACAGACTGCGATGCATTTGGCTGTATTTTGACTGAAAAGCTCCGCTTCTAAACAGAATATATCTCACAATACTTCGGAAGCGAAAGATGAGATTCGTAGGAAGGAACGCGATCGCTCCATGGCTGGGGGTGGGAGGAACAATACAACAATCACGGTCAGGCTCTTCGTTGACAGACAGGCGCGTCATCCAATCAGATTCGCCGTCGATCACGTCGAAACGCTGGATTCGATTAGCACGCAGATTAAAAGCAAACAGATTCGTCCCCCCTGCCATGTTTGGTTGTGGAAGTTGCCGACACACGTGTAATGCTGCGAATGGCAAGGCTCACTAGTTAAAGTGGTATCAAGATATGCGTCTCTTCAAATTGTCCGGGAGATAAAAATAGGCCGATTCGACTCTGAACGTTTCGTTCCCTAACAGAAATGAATTTGCTGGCATTACTGGAGAGGCAAGCAGGAGAATTTAGTGCCAGTTTGTCCTGAACTACCTGGCTAAGTTCAGATTTTATAAACCTGCTAAATTAAATATTGATGATAATCGGCAAAATTGATGTTTGCAATCTCCGTACATCATGTTTTTATGTGTCTGGTCCATACTAACGATAATAATTTATAATGAATTTTATTGTCATATTACAGATTGAAGGCTTATCGCAGAACGTACATGAAGTTTGAAGTCAATTACAGAAGTTATGTAAGATGATGTGTACATTAAAGCATATGTGCCCTTAATTTAAAGTATAGCAGTATGTTTCTATGTGATTCCAGATTACGGAAGAAAGACTAGAGGAGCCTGTATGTCTCTCCTGTGCACATAACATCCCCTGTAGTACGTCAGCATCAGTCGAAGTCACCGCTGGGCCCCCGAGAAAGGCCCTTAAATTTTTCCGGGGATTGAATGACCCCGCTTTCTCATATATGATTGTCGTTGTTGATAAAAGCTTCTTCTAAATAAATAGTTTCAACCAGTTCAGGGTCAAGTGGGGGTGTCAAACACTTTGGATGGGGTGCCAGTCCATACCAGAATATATACTGTATATGAGCTTATCTACATATGCAACCACACCCAGGTCATCAGCCTGTCCCTGGCAAAATGCTTTGAGAGGAAAATCTACGTAGGCTGTGTTTGTAAAGACCACATCCATGGTAGGAACTGCATTTTGATCAAAACATCCACCAGAATACATAGTGACCCTTGAGCCACACTGGGAAATTTATCGATATGACAGCCCGAACTGCACATTGCTGAATTATAGGACAAAATTGGAGGACCTGAAGGAAACCCACTCAACATAAGGAGAACAAGCAAGGTCTTCTCACTGGAAGCTACAGAGCAATCCACTGTGCTACCTCAGTTAAAATAACCTTTATTTAATTGTTTAGTATTAAACTAAATATATTGAGCTGTTTTTTTTCTCAAAATAAGTGACATTACACACATTGTGATCACTGAAGTAACCGTGATAAATGTAATTTACATATAATTTATTCAAATAAAGTCAGACATCCATCCATCGCCCAAACACATATCCATCACGGGACAGCATACCTTCAAAGATAGTATTTCAGTCATACTGTAATTTCCACCCAGACACAAATTTCAATATTCTTCCTCACAAGTACTGTAAAGGAATCAAAGGTGGCAATATACAGAAAAAGTAACACAAACTTAAATACGGAAAAAAAATGTAGGGTAGTGTGAAAATCAGGAATCTCTCAAGGTAATGTTGCTAGCTTTCTTTTATCTGCTTCATGCCCTCCGACTTGGGAGGTATAATTTTAATATCAAATGGAACAAAAAATTCTAAAAGTCCCTTGGTATCCTTTAAGTCTAAAGAGTACTCTTGTGCTAAATTCTCTGGCGTCCAGGTTTTGGGAGAGTTTTTGTGCTGGTTGAGTACATGCAGGGCTTCCACGATGGACAGCTTGCCTTTTGGGACATCTCTGATGTCAGCCATGAAGCCGTAGGGGTTTCCAGGCAGGCTGAACTTCAGCGGCCTGCGTACCTCCGCTTCCATTCTTTTGGGCTGCAAGTCCTGGAGAAATTCATAGCAGAGGCTGGAGAGTCAGCAACGTCACACATTTTTGCTTCGTTTCACCATATTAGCAACCCGTGCATCCTGCTAAACATTTAAATAACTAAATACCAAGCACATGAATAACCGACTTAATATCTGGGTGAGTTTTTACCATCGCGTGCCATCTTCAGCTGTACAAGAAGGAGTAACGGTATGGAATATTCAACCTTATGTGGTGGCTAGTTTAATATTTAGCTTACAGCTAAATGACAATGACACCCTGTCTGTATTATCAATAGAAGCCCATGTTTTAGTTAAATTATAAAGAATAAATAAGACTATATAAATCTGACAAATTCCATTTAAGGCATGATGGAGCGGTGGTGGTCTAATGGTTAGGGAAGCACCTTTGTAATTAAAAGCTTGCCAGTTCAAATCCCCAACCAGCCAATGTACGACCTGAGGTGCCCTGAGCAAGATACTGCTCCCCGGGTGCTGAATTAGCTGCCCCCTACTATGTCACATATGGGTTAAATGCAGGGGACACATTTCATTGTTATGAGCCATGGTGTGTCAACAACAACAACTTTTCACTTCACTTAAATTGCATCAAATATGCCACACCACTCCACACATACGTTTGACTTTGACGTTTTGACTCTTGACTCTGTTTTGACTCTTCAGCCTACCTGTGCTGGTGGCTCCCTGGACTCCACATACACAGACTTCAGCAAGGTCAGTAAGGGGTCGTTTTTCTTGTGGATAGATTCGCTTAACTCTGATGCTGAAAAGTGAACGACAATCGGTTAAATTATGTCAACGGCGAAGAGGGGGAAGTTTACCTATTTCCACTGCTGCCAATTTTGGTCAGCTGGCTGGCGTGAGATTTTCAACTCGAAACAAGTCTGGACACACATTCACATGTATGTAAGAGTTTTATTACCTTGTAAATAGTCTGTAGGGTTTGCAAACTGCCCGGCGCTTTTGATGTAGCTAATTTTAGGTTTATAATGGAATAATACAGATTTGCCATAAGATTGCTTGCGTGACCGTTAGTCAGAAAGCGCGTGCATGAGAGTTGACAACGCTGCCATTACAGGTTATAGTATAAACATACATACAAAAATATGCTGCTTTATGTCTTACCACGAATGTCAAAGCGAGCGACACAGTAGCGCCACTGCAGCAACCGAGCGCCCTCCAAAAGCTACCAGACAGTAGTTATGTTACTAACACTACTTCGATAAATAATAACCAAGCCTGCCAATAAAAAAAAAAAACTCATTCGAAATCACATGACATTTTTAAAGGTGAAGCCATAAGCTAAGCTACAAGGATGTGATATATATAACGTGAACTTACTTTCATTATTTTGTAAAGAAGAATGTCGTGGGGCAGCTAAGGGTTTGACTTTACCAATTTCTTTGTGAACTCGGTTTTCCAAGTTAAAATTTCTAAACACCCGTGTTATCCGTGACCCCATGATTTCCTTCGTAAGATTCAAACCTCCTCCGTGAAACTTTATGGTTACCATCCATACTTGTGTACGGGGTTCCGCAAGGCTCAAACTTCATAACAGTGATAACGTCTGTTTTAGAGCGGCCCCTAGTGTATAGGAGGACTTTCGAATTCTAACAGAAGTGCGAGCAAAAATAGACATTATGTTGAACTATCAAAATGATACATCTATATATGTATATATATATATATATATATAATAAAATATAAAGTATTGAGACAGATTATCGAAAGCGAACGGCTATAGTGTAATGTGATATGAAATAACATTAGCTTTTCATGAGGCATATTTTCACCAGCAGATGGTAGCAAAATCCCAATAAATAACGATCCCCGCTAAACACGACTGGCGGATCATTGAATTTAGGGAAAATCTGCCGGTCGATATGTTATGTTGACAGAATTTAAGACATTAATTTAGTAAACGAGGTTGAAATCCTTTTCAAATATCTATTCCCCCAAAAGACTACTGTTTACCATACTGTGTAAATATTGTTATTCATTAATTTACATTTGTCTAAGGGGTTCTTTTGGGTGAGTTTGTATTGAAATCTTCGCATGGTCACAGACCTCTCTAGTGGCCTGGCTTGTCTTTGTAAATACTGCTTGATTGGCTGGGATGCAGAAGCGGACATCTGGTAATAATCACCATTTTAGGGAAAACACTATACAGAGTCTGTTAAACTAGATAGAGGGTAGGAAAGTCAAGCATTCTTCACCTCTTACGTCACCAGCCTTACAAAGTATCCCTCCTTTTCTGGAAGAAATGTAACGTTTTGTAATTGTGAATTGTGCAGAGGGGTTAACCACATCCAGTGGCTGTATACCACCCCTACAAACTCATTTTACAACAGCCTTTCATCTGTATCAGTGGCTTGCTTCTATTTTGCCAACCATGTTGTTTTGTTTGACTTCTAAAGGGGTTCAAACCATTGGCTGATCTATAAGCCGTACTCTTTGTAGACAGAATGTCTGGTCAGACAAATTATTTATGATGCAGTAATTAAGTGCATGGATACTCGGCGCCGTAGAGTGGTGACGTGTTGAATGCCGCTCCTCGCAGATTTGTCTGTTTTGCGTATATTTGCGTATATTGTCCTGTTTGTAATGTCTAGTTTTACGGCCAGCGAGTAGTCTAATCCAGTATGATAGACAAACACTCTTAAATATTAGCGAGCAATATGGAAAAATTGCTGTTTTAGACCCTGAGGTGACTTCGCTACTCACCCGCGAGCACATCGGCCGACGCGACCCAGCTGGAGGCACACGAAGGACGCGCGAGCGGAGACGGGCCGAAGGGCTGGGGTGCAAGTCAGACTGAAACGCCGCGGACTACAACCACCGATGCCAAGCGTTTTCCTGGCAAACGTCCAGTCCTTGGACAACAAATTGGACGACCTCAGAGGAAGACTCCTATCCCACAGAGAACTGAGGAACTGCTGTGTTCTCTGCTTCACGGAGACGTGGCTGACCGAGAGCATCCCAGACCATGCAGTCCAACCGGAGGGGTTCACAATCCATCGGGCTGATCGGACAAAGATGTCGGGGAAGAAACGAGGGGGTGGTGTGTGCTTCCTCGTCAACAACTCGTGGTGCACGAACGTGGAAATTATTGCACGGAACTGCACTCCGGACCTCGAGTACCTGCTGATAAAGTGCCGGCCGTTCTCTATCATCAAGTTTGCTGATGATAC